TATATATATATATATATATATATATATATATATATATATATATATAATTTTTTATGTTTACGCTATAGGGTCTTCCATAAAGTACATGCACAGGTATGGGGGGAGTGGGAGTTACCCAAAAACATACGGATGGGGGTGGGGAGGGGATAGAATCTTAAAGACAGCGAGTACGTACGCGGTTTGACTATCTCTCCATCTCTATCTCTCTCTTAAAACTTTTTTTTATTAACATAAACATTGAATTTAACGATTTTAAAAAATCAATGCTATGTTATATAATAGAGTAATGTTGAATTAACAAAAAGTTTTTTTGTTTTTAATTAGGGAGTTTAGGCAACTTTTTTAGCGTATGTATATATTTTTTATTTTAGGTACATTAAACTCTCTAATATATTTCATTTCCAAAATGGTTTCAACCACTTCTGTAGCTTATTTAGTTTCAAAGACATACGTGTTTTAATATGTTTTATTTTTAGACCTTTTAGGAAATATTTTCTTAAAGTATCTCATTAAATTTTTAGCACCAAAAAAAAAGTTTTTTAATAATATTTTTTTTTTTCTTGCATAAAAACTTTTCGCATTAACAATCTTTTTATAAAACTTTATTAGAAATTAAATTGTAAATCAAAATTATTTAAACAATTTAGAAATTAAATTTTTTTAATGGTATAACATGTTTTAAACTTTTTTTAAATAACTTAAATTTTTTAATGGTTTAATTCATAATACGTTAAGCGTAACACTTTGAGGAGATTAATTAACACGTAAAACTTTGAGGAGATTAATTTACATTAACTTTTATTTGAACTTTCTTAATATTTTATCATCATCATCATCACCACCATCATCATCATCATCATCATCATCATCATCATCATCATCATCATCATCATCATCATCATCATCATCATCATCATCATCATCATCATCATCAGTATATGGTTCTCTGTTCGTTATTGCAACAAGGTCATCGGCTCACATGATTTTAGATTATTGCCGTGCCGCTCAGTATCATTTAAATTTTTTTTCAGTATTACCAATAAAAAAGATCTAAACTTTTTAGATTATAATTGCTATTTTTGAAAAAAAAATTTGAGCAAAAACTTTAAATATAAGAGCCGTTCTAAAAAATGCGTTGCATTACCGAATGCATCGAAAAAGAGGGTTTATGCATGGGAATCATAAAAATGACATTCGGGTATGTTTTTTTTATTCATTTTCTTCAAATCAAGCTATAAACTAAATAAATCCACGTTTCTAAATTTTGACATTTTTCATATCATTGTGGCGTTTTTAAGTTTCTGATTTCAAGTAAACTTTATATAATATATTAGTTAACAAATCTCGTACTTGGGTTTTCAAAAAAAAAACGTTTTACAAAATTTTTTTTATTTACGTTTTTAAAAAAAAATTTTCTGCTGGATATATAATATTTACTAAATTGAATGTCTAAAATGTATAAACTTTGCTTTTGAAACGAAAAAGATTTTTTGGAAATTTGGTTTTAACTGTGAGGTGTTGTATTACCGAAACTACTCAGGTTGCATTAACGAACTTTCTGGTTTTCGCTTATAAATGAATTTGAAGGGTTTATTTTGCAATCATTTTTAAGTTACTATTTTAAGATAAAACTTATTTACTCTTTTTTATCCAAAAAATAAAATTGATGCAAATAATATTTGTATAATCGAACGGAAATTATTCAAAGTCTCAGAGGCGTGTTATAGGACTTTCAGGGTAAAGAAACGGACAATCAATTAAAACAGGGGAAATTTTTTATTGCAGAATATAAAACTATATATTGACGTTTATGTAAATAAATTTTAAATAAATAAATAGAGCTTTTAATACAACATTTATAGTTAACAAATGCTCTTATTTTGAATACACAAAAAACACTATTTTTGATTATTTTAAAACAAAAACTTTACAACAATATTCTGACATCTTTCTTTAAATCAAAGTAATAAATTTTTCAAGTATTTTTAAACTAATTTTGACTTTATGAAAAAAATACACACAGCAAATTGTTGTTTTAAACAATCTTCCTAGCAAAAATTTTACAGCGGAACTTTAGTAGACTTATATATACATTTTAAGAGTTTCCCACTTTTTTTCCACTGTGAAAAGTCTCATTGGTTACATAGTGGACCACAATTGACAGTCTTCATAATGGCTAGCCAACAACTAGCTTTTATATTACATGTTAAAGAGTTATTGGCTAGCCACTTTTAGCGAAACACTGAACCAGATTATTTGGAGACGCTGCCCAAAACGTATTTTTGTGAGTAGAGGGGTCTTTGAGTCTGCAGTTAATTCGACTGAGATTGAATTTTATGAAGGTCCTAATGGAATCTTATTTGTACTTAATAAATTTTAACTAACAGCATATGTAACGTCTTTGAAACTTAATGATAAGAATAAAGAAGCTATGAACCGGTCTTTTCAATAGTTCACTGAGCGTGTTAAAAAGAGAGAAGAATAGCTAAAAACAATTAAAAAGCCTTAGTTAGACAAAGATGATAAAGAAAGACTTAGTTACACAAAGGTAATAAAGAATTGATACAGAAAAAACTCAAAATATATTCCTGGAGGGTTATAATATGTTTATATGAACTTTTTATTATGGTTTTATTCTTTTGTTTTATATATTTGTCGTTTCCTCAAAACTAAGTTTTGCCTCGAATACAAATCTTTAAAATAAGATTAACTTTAAACTCGTTTAAGCTTTGATCTAATTTTTTTTTGCGATTTTTTTACATAATTAAAAAGGATGCGGATCATTGAAGGATATTTAAAACAAAATAAGGGAAGTACTTTTTTATGAGAAAAAATGCTGTACGAATGTTCAGCGATTTTTCTATGTTTATTTCAAATGTTGTAACCTTTTATATATTATAAATAATAAAAAATGCTTCACTTATCTGGATTAATATACCTCATTAGTATACAAACCAATTTTCAGCTTGATATGATAAATATTTTGATCACAAAAATTGCTAGTTTTTCACTCTTATTTTAAATAACTGGGTAATCGAGACATTTTTTTTAAGTTGATACTTTAAAATAGTTTATAGAACAAGATTTTTGGTGAAAAATATAAGTCAAAAAAGTTTTTTTATCAAAAGTTTGCCTTTTTTGTGGAAGACCACCTTAAGCTTAGGAAAAGTTTAAAATTTATTTAAAATCCATACTTCAAAGCAACAATTTTTACCATGTAAAACAAAAGCTGTTTATTTACAGTTTTAACAATTGAATAATGTTATTTAGAATTGAGTAGTATTATTTAGAAAAAGTGCCTTAAAAGTGTAATTGTGTCAAAGAAAGTATTAGAACTAAGTGTATTTTTATCCGAAAATAAATTTAATAATGGATTTATTCGAATGGAATCTTTTTTTGGGCACGCCATATAATTTTGACATACAAGACCCAGTTTAAACAGGGTTAAGTTGTACTAGAAATGAGATTATTTATTTAATGATCTTATCATCTTGAGACGAATGTTTTTTGTTTTTATAAAAGTTAATGCGCTTTTCTTTATATATTAAACATTAAAACGACGCTATCTGGAAATTGAATAGATTACAAAATATTTATGCACTTTCAACACCCATCTCACCAAGTCCAAAAAATTAAAAGAATATCCATAGTTTTTATAGATAGGGGAAGACAAAGCAAGATATCAAACGTTTTAAAAATCATGTTTTATTGTAAATCTTAGACTAATGAAGCAGTAATATTTTGTAATAGAATAATGCAAACTCAAAACTTATGGATGCAATGAATCATGATGATTCATTCCTTCCATAAGTTTTGAGTTTGCAATTAAAAAAATTGGCCATTAGTCATCGGAGCACGATAATAGAGCAAAATAAATTTGCGTAAAAAAAAAAACTACAAAGTTACACCCATAAAATACCACACATTGGCATTTACCCTTAAACAATTTTATCTTTTAAGCGTGAAAAATAAAAACTTACGAGTGTATAAATACTTGAACAATATTTAAAAAAACGAAAACTTGTATTTTAAAACACAAGCTATATATACAGATTTGTTTCCACTCAATTTTAAATTGTCAGTTATACAACAAAAAGTTTTTCTTCAAAACTATTTGTTGTATAACTGACAGATTTTTAACGGTACCATACCTAATGATACGAAGCATATTACGAGAATCTTTTGTAAGCTTCCAAGTAAATTTAATTTAGTCTTTAAAACTCCTGGACCTAATAATAGAGCAATTTTTTTAAATGTAAATCATTTTTTATGTCACAAAAACATAAAAAATGATTTACATCCTAATAAAACAATCTAATGATTTACATCCTAATAAAACATAAAAAATGATTTACATCCTAATAAAACATAAAAAATGATTTACATCCTAATTACATCCTAATAAAACAAAATTTTTTTCTTAAAAAAATTTTGTTTTATTAGGATGTTCTCAGAAGTCCTAACCGTCTTATCATCAGAAGTCTTTAGCATCGTTAAGGACTTCTGATGATAAGACAGCTGTTAGTTGAAAAGTTTTTACCATCAATATCACAATATCAAGCAAAACTAAGAAAGAAAGAAAAACTCTAGATCTAAAGATAAATAAATTAAGTGATAATGATTGCTAAATAATTCCGCTCAACTCTATGTTTATATATATATATATATATATATATATATATATATATATATATATATATATATATATATATATATATATATATATATATATATATATATATATATATATATATTCATTAAAAAAACATAATTTTAAATGCAACTAACATTCAACTTAAAGCTGACAATCCTACAATTGTAGATTGCATGAGAATTTTTAATTTAATATTTTGATAAGTTTTAATAGTTCGTTACACTTAATTGAATTTATTATATTGTAAAAAAAAATTCAATTAAAAAAATCAACTAACTTTGTTTTAAATCAGTAATCTAACTAATATATAATAAACTTTTTTAAACTAGAATATACAAGTAAATGCATGCAAATGCAATTTGATAAACTTTTTCAATAGTAACACATTTACAATAAAAACTCAAAACACATTTTTTTTTGATAAAATCTCCAGGGTTTTGTCACAACCTTTTAGATCTAAATTTAGCCTAATATTGGAATCTAGAGTCTGTTGTTGTAAGTTGATGAAGCTTTTCAAATCTTTCATATACGACTTTATTGCTGGAACAAGACACTAAATGTGAAGATATATTTAATATAATACTTACATAAGTTTAGTAAAATGCATAAACTTGTATAAATTTATATATATATATATATATATATATATATATATATATATATATATATATATATATATATATATATATATATATATATATATATATATATATATATATATATATATATATATATATATATATGTATACACCAGGGATGCAGAGTCCTAAAAGGGCTCCTATGAAACAAAAAGTCCTTCAAAAGGACTCTTGCTTTTAAGTGTGAAGTCCTGGAGTCTATGCCGCCTTTATACCTTGGACTTCGGGTTCAAAAATTATTGTTCTACTGATGTATAAGTCTTGATTTTTTTCCCCATTAGTAGCCCTTAGGCTTTTTTATATCTTTAAAGCTACTGGATACCAAAAACTAGAAATAAGTAATCTTTTTGTGACCTTTAACTCCGGAGTCCTTTTTAGGGATTCTGCATCCATGATATATATTTATATAAAATGTGAAAAACTTATATATATATAAATTATGATTTTATATGTAAAAACTATGAATATTGTTTAAATACAAATTATGAATATTATATACATAAAAATATAAATGCAATAATAGCAAAATTAACTATAAAACCTCATGATATCTTTGTACAAATATGCAGTATCAAATTGATATAGTTTTCAAAACCACGCAAATTAGTTTGTGTTGTAATTGTTGAAGATGATTGATTTTTAAACTGTTGTTTTGATAACAAATCTTCAATGTCTGAATCAAAGCATTGAAAAATTACATGCCATTTTTAGAAAAATTTAAATAAGCACTTTTAAATTTTTCTGAGAAATGATACATTTTAATTGTATTCAAATGCACATTTTTACACATGATATAATATTGAGTTAGATATTATTGAAAGGTATACTGTTGTAAGGCTTCAGATGTTGACATCAATAGAGTGAGGTATTTTAAAAGTATGATCCAGAAGCTTAAAAACATCTATCTTTTTCCACTAAAAACAAATAAATTTATAAGTAACTTTAAAAATTTAAACTCTATAACAATCACAGAACATTAGAAAGTACTTTAAGAGCACAATTAAGATTTTTATGTTCCCCAGGATAAAAAAAACTTAATTATATCTTTATTTCAAGTCTTTTTTTTTAAATTATGCATAGTACATTTTGTTTGATTGTGCGATATCAAAATTTTCATTACAATAAATTTTTAGTTGCTGTAAGTATCGTAATTTTAACTAACTTTTAGGGCAAGTCTAAAAACTAATTAATAATTTAAAAGCTAGGTAAAATAATCGGATTTTCCATGAATTTCGAAAATAAAAGAATAGAAAAAGCAAAAATTAAAGTATTAGTGAATTTCTTTGATTTAAAAGTGGAATTGAATAGGGTTTGTCCATAAATTATGCAACGCTAAATTTCACTAATAGACAAAACATAAGAGATCAAAAGTTTTTTTCTAAAAGTTTTGTCATGTAAAAGAATTAAATATTATCTACTTCTTTTTTTTAAATCAACTTTGCATTGCAAAATATTTAGATAATCCTAATTGAATGTTTAAATACTTGTGAAAACAACTTTAAAAAATATATGAAATATATTACAAAAATAACGACATTTATCTTCTTCATCAGGTTTTGAAAGTTACTCTTAAAATTATATTATACAGAAAAAAATAAAGTTGCTTTATCATTCGAAACTTAACTGAACTGCACATTTGTTTGAAATTAATTCAGCGGTCAGGTAGATATTTGAGAAACTTTAATAATTTTTAAGCTAACTTTAATAGATAGTTTTGATTAAACTTGCCAAATAAAATAGTAACATTTAAACTAAACTATTATAAATATGGTAAAACTATTTAATGTCTTTTAATTGTAAAATAAGCATCATTGCCTTTTAAAGAAACAAAAGATAATAATGTTGGAGTATAGTTAAAAGTTTTCGCCAGATATATTACTTAAATTCACATAATAGTACAAGAGAATACACATAAAAAATACACATAATAGTACAAGAGAAAAATTTAATTTTTTTTAAATAAATCTTTATATTTAAGAAGAAGACAACATAGCTGTTGTAAATATAAACTAAAATCTTTGAAATTATATTATTACTGTTTAAAAATTACTTGCAAATAACAAGTTCTGCATCTAAACTTTGTCAATAGAGTTCTTTAAAATAGCCATCTCTAGATTAAATTTTGTCTTGAGTAAAAAGGACAAAATCTAATCTAAAAATAATCTTTATGAATAAAATCTTTTAATGTTGTTAACAAATACTAAACAATCATATACTTAAGAAATAAAAATTATAACTTTTATGCCAACTTAAAAGTGACTTAAACTACTTTATTATTTACAATATTATTATAAGCACATTGTATATTATTAGTAACATTATTATAAGCATGTAAAATATTATTAATAATATTATCATAAGCATATAGTATTTTATTAATAACATTATTATAAGCTGGTTAAATTTGTAATGTTTTAGGTGAAAATTTAAGTAGAAGTTTACTTACACAACTTAGATTCTACAGCATTACTTACACAACTTAGATTCTACAGATTCACAGCACAGTAAAGAACTTGTTAGATGGTTTTGACTGAGCTTAAATGCTAATTAATTTCTACTCTGTCAAGGTATATTTTTTAATTGCTACTGAATATCTAATGAAACCAGTTTTTAGATAAGTCAAATTTGTTTGCGTAACAGTTAATCTCTTTAAGACTAATGAAATAAATATATACCATGTCAAGAAATGGAAAACAAAGAGCCTTGCTTCATGCACACAATGATGACTTGTATCCTTTGGCAAATAGGTTTTGTGAATTTAATATGTGATGTAATCAATCTTTTATGCGAATAAACTCAACAACATGTTTAAATAATTATTTAACTGCAACATACAGTTTAATAATATAAAAAAGTTAGCTTTTATATAAACTATAACATATAACCATAATACTTAACAGCAGGTAAACGGTATATATAACTTTAGTTAATGAGATATTTCAAAGAGGTGTTTTGAATATTTCTATTTAAAGAATTTAATAAATTTGTTTTTTCAAACAAATGTTTGTTTGAGGATGTATGTAAAACTTGTTACATACATCCTTAATTCTATTGAGTGATTATCCTTTAAATTTCAAGAAACTATTATTTACTTTATACTTGTTTTAAAATTTGATATAAATAACTAAAGATTTTTTTTTTTTTTTAGTTATTTTATTTCGTCATTTGACACATTCTACAATATTAACCTTACATTCAAATAAATTTATACAATTACAAAGCTGACTGGGGCGAGGAGAAGACAAAATGTCTTATCATCAAGCCCATTCGTAAAAATAAAAATAAAACTTTACAACTTCAAATAATATATTAAAGAGTGAAATTAAAAAAAGTTAAAAAAAACATATTTAAAAGTTTAAAAAAATTAAAAATAATTTTTAAGTTTGACAAAACTAAAATGTATGAAAATAATAAAAAATAAAAAAATTTGAAAAAATAATTTATAAATCGGCATATATATATATATATATATATATATATATATATATATATATATATATATATATATATATATATATATATATATATATATATATATATGTATATATATATATGTATATATATATATATGTATATATATATATATATGTATATATATATATATATATATATATATATATATATATATATATATACATATAAATATATATATATATATATATATATATATATATATATATATATATATATATATATATATATATATATATATATATATATATATATACATATATATATAATATATAATATATATTTTTTTGCATACAGACACTGTAAGAGATTCAGGTTAGCAGTTGTATGCCATTGTAAAGCAAAGATAGGTCGGCTTTTGCGTCGGCATTGCCTAATGCAGTCCCTAACCCAAACACTAAATGAGTGGACTACCCCTCATGAGTAGACTAATCCTTTATGATGCTCTCCCTAAGTCAGTCATTGTGTGTACTAATTACCTTTCATACAAGTTGCTGACCGAAAAAAATGACATTTTTTACAAAATAAAAATATGTTTACAGTGCCAATAAAAACCGGGTACACAAAAATGTCCCTGTAATTATGTAGCAATAACAATTTTGGTATAATTATGATTTATTTTTTACTTACTTGCACTGAAAAGCTTTTTTTGTTGGCACTAAGTTTCTTCTAAAGTTCTTAAACTTGTTCGTTAAACACTTAATCCACATTGAGCCATCTCCATTTATGTCTATGAGGGTTGGATACTGTAGAAGTTTTTTATTCACTATTGCCCTCAGATCCTCGGGATAAGGATACCTTTTTAAAGAAAAATTAATTTAAAATTACTGATAACAAATAAACTAAAACAATTTTAGCAACCCTCGGAATCAGAAAAACTAAAGTCATAAACTGTTTTATGTCAGTATAAGGTCAGCAAATAAATTTCTTTACAAAGGTTTTATTATTAAAAATAGAAACAGATCAACAAAAAATTACTGATCTCAAACACATTTATGTCGGCAATTAGATCTGCATTGCTGAATGCTGACCCTAATTATGAGGGTTGTTATAGGTCAAAATATGTTTTGCATTTTGATTTAAAATAATGTCAAAGTAATAAAAATTGGAATAAATATTAATATACTAACAATGTGGTTTTGCAAATTGACAAAAAAAGCTGATCTACAATCTGCAACCTTGTGGAGGATGTGAAATTGACTAGGTTAGGTTGATTTTCAATAAATTGAGCAGATAAATCAGGAAGCTCCAAGGTTAGCCTCTTACGATAAACACTCAATCTTGATGTTTTTTTAGATGATTGGGTTAAAGAAATATACTTTGAAGTCAATGGTGGTGAATTTATTGATATGTTGCTTGTATTTTCAGCCTCCATTACACTACAAATCACAAAAATAATGCAATTAAAATTAACATAAAATAAATAAACAGTGAAACTAGATAACATAAAAGTCAAATATTGTATGCAACAATTATTCATCATCATCATTGTCATCGTTTTAGCGTCCTTGTTTCCGTGCTTGCACGGGTTGGACGTTTCTCACAATGCAATTTTTCAAGCATACACGATCTTAAACATCTTCTTTCCTTAAAAAAAGAATTTTTAAATCATCTGAAATACACTTTTTCCAAGTTTTTTTGTTTCTACCTCTACCTTTTTCTCCTGAAACTTCTAACTATCTACATGCTGATAACTTGCCATCTGCTTCCTTACGCTCTGCACGCTGATCTAATTGTATCTTCAAGATAAAAAAATTTACTAACACACTCTATCTTCACTCCACTTGTTATTTCAACTTCTTTTCTAACTTCTTCTCTATACTCACCAACAGTACATTTTCTACACTCAAAACCAACAATCTTAAGAGAACCTTGTATACCACTAAATCTCTTATGAACCCTTTGCTTACAAACTGTACAAACAATAGAATTTACTCCAACTCCCTTTCTACACACTCCACATGGCCACTTCCTAGTAATTTTTGTTTGCTTATTCTTGACTTTACAGTGCATAAATTTTGTCTTCAGGCACAAATCATCTGGATAGAATAACTCCCATGGGAAACCAACTCTGAACTCTTTAGAGAGTTGAGCTTCCAAAACGATAATAAAAAGCAAAGGACTAAGCACTGAACCAGCTTTTTTTTCAAATTAATCTCTCTGTCTCTTGTTTTGATTGTTGTTGTGACATTTTCATGAATAACCATTATGACTGTCACTATCCATTCTTTAACACCTAAACACTTTAAAACCCACCACACAATCTCTCTTGGTACTCTGTCGAAAGCTTTTTCTAGGTCTACTATTCTCTATGTCTACTATTCTACTATGGTCTATTGTATGCAGAAAAAGAACCCAAGCAGCAATTTTATCAGGTCATGTCAATTATGCCTAATTGAAAAAGAAAAAAAACTTATATAAATAAAAACATCAAGTGATAAAGAAAATAAAAACACTCTGATATAAAGAAACAATCTGATCTATAAATTTAAGTTTTGTGGTTTTTGAAAAGGTTCAACTTTTGGTGAACCAATAGTTTCACCTAAAAGAGTTTTGGTAATGTAAAAATTTTTTCTTACCATGATTGGTATAAGATTAAAGAATTCTAAAGACTAAAAATTTGAAATACATATATCAGATTTTTTGTTTAACCTGTCATCAACAGTAGTGATCTAATCTAATAGTAGTAACCATTTAATTAAATTGAAGTGTAAAACACTAACCTGTCATCAAATAGAAGTGCCATATAAGATTGTGGTCTAGAGGTACAAGCTTCGCTAAAAAAACACTTTTAAATTTAGAAGGTAATAACATAGTTATAAATTTAAATTTAATATAAAATTTTATCATAATTAAAATTTAAATTTAAATTTAGAAGGTAATAACAATACTTTAATTTAATGTTCAAACAAAATATTAAAGTAAAAAACTATAAGCCTGTGTATGCACGGATTATAAATCACTAAATCATTACAATTAATAAAAACAAGTTCATTTAAATATTACAGTAAAAATATTTTGGCACAACTATATCACGTTCTTTAATCAAATATATTGGCAACGGATGATGGTCGTGTAAGTCGTCAACTGTTACAAAAATGTATTTAGACAATTTAATTATGCGAAAAGCTTGAATGTGTTCATCATATTCATTTGTAGAATATAGTTGACACTGTAAGAATATTGTTAAACTGCACTTGTAGATAGCGATAATGCAAGCAAACTGCTGAGGCCTAAGAAGAACGCAATCACCGATTTGGTAAAAAATAGAGTTATAGTTTACAGACTTGGCAAAAATTGCTTTACCAAGCTCAGGCCAGTGTGTGTTAAAGGCTTGCTTGACAAGACATGGAAGAGAAGACACATCAGTTTCCTTAGTTCCTTAAAGAATAACTTCTACATCGACAAAATCATTTCTTGTTCTATCATACGAAGCCCTTTTTTGAAATTTGCATGCCATTGTGTGTTGGATATTTTTAAAGTTCTTAGAGTTTGATGCAAACTTCTTGTGCACCTGATGGACTGCTTCAAAACGCAAACAAGAAGCCGCACTGAGGGCTCCGTGCTGCTCAAGGAGATGAGGGTAATGCATTGTGTAATGTTGTTTTGGTGATACAGAACTATTGGGAAAATTTTCCATCACTGATACCAAATGTCTTTTACATATTTCCCTGAACTTTGTTAGGTGCTCTATGTCAAATGATGGTGCAAAACTAATATCCACTAACTGACGCAAA